ACGCTAGGTTCTGCTACTGATTTTGAATTTGAGAAGGGTTTACCGAGAAATTCAATAGCGAAAATTATCGACGAAATGGAGTAGCGAACTGTTGACTTATAGTCTAGCCCTTTCTACTTTCTAGTAGCTTCTATTCGGATAATCCTTTTTAATTCCACCATATTATGTTCCTTTCTTTTAAAATTTGCATTTAAGCCTATCGGTTAATAACATAAATTGTCACTCAATTTTGTAAAATATTTTTAAGACGTCGCTGAACTTTAAAAATCACTTAAATGATCACTAAATTTTGCAAAATATTTTCACAATCATTGAACTTTAAAAATCATCCCATTCAACACTAAAATTTGCAAAAGATTTCCACGTAATCACTGAATTTTACAAAAGGTTTTCCACGGATCACTCAGCGATCCCCTGTTAAACTTTTTACAAAGTTTAGTAATGAATATGATAATTTTTAAAATTCAATGATTTCATGAAAATTTTTTGTAAAGTTCAGTGATTCTGTGAAAATCTTTTAAAAAATTTAGTGATACTTAGGTGATTTTTCAAGTTCAATGACCCCGTAAATTTTTTTTGCAAAATTCGGTGATCATTTTGATTATTAAATTCCAGTGTATCTTATATTTATAACTTTTCCACCATTTTTTTTTTTGAAAAATTATAAATTGTTGAAATCATAAATTGAGAGGATTGAACGATAATTTATACAATGGAATGGTAAATAAGTAGGTAGCAGTGTGGATAACTATAAATGGATAGAGTTAGAGCCTGTTTGGGAGTGATTTTGATAATTAATTTTTTGACCGTTAGGAGAAAAGTGGGATTCACTGTAAGAGAAGAAGTGAAATATGACGGCTGAAATAATGAAATGACGGTCAAAAAATCAATTTTTTGGAGGAAAAATCACTCCTGTTGACCCCAAAAAGTGCACCAACAGATGCTGGTCCCACCCACGCTTGCGTGGGCGAATGTCCAACACGCTAAGACACGTGGACGGTCTAAAACGAGCGGTTCAATGAGGCGTGGGAGTAGCCCAACGACGCGGGACGGTGACGTTCAGAATCCGGCGGGTTGTTCGTAATCCGATTGTACAATAATTACCAACCGGTACTCGTAAATGTATATGTGAAAGTGTATAAACTCGATTTGTGTATTGCAAGTAATTGAGAGAGAGTTGAGTAAATGTAGTTTTTAGTATTGATTCTTGCATTAGCCTTTGACATTACACAATGGGAGTATTTATAGTAATACATATGAAATGGGAGCCCTTGGATGAAGTGGCACGTGGCCTCATCTCTTTAGTTCAAACATTTTTTCCTAGGTATGGGGCTTGACTTGCTAGCTTGCGGCGCATTTATTGCTTGTGTAGGGCTTCCATGCTAGTGACAAGACTTGACCTTTATGCTTATGAGAAATATTCCATCAATCATTCGAATAAGATCTATGCAGGCGATCTCTTGGGAGAAGTGACCATGGAGAATGTTTCCTTATGGTTCAGAGGCTCGTGCATCAGTTTCGGGGCTTCGGCCATTTATCATGATACTTCCACTTGAGGGCCTCAGCTGCTCTCAACAGGTTCTAGCAGCCTGGTTTCGGTTCGTAGGCCTCGGACAAAAAGGAGCCTCGACAGATGGATTTCGGCTCGAAGCAGTTCGGATGTAGCCCACATCGGTATTGTGTGCCACCTCGGCAGGAATGCCACGTGGATCGCCATGAGTGGGCCATTGTCCCAGGTAGGTTGGCCAGGTGTGACAACACGCAACAATAGTCCCCCAAGTCCAAGTATATTCATTTATGTAATGCGTGGACTTTAATGGAGTAAAAATTGAAAGAATTTTTGAACGCCAAGTAATAGTCCCCCAAGTCCAAGTATAGATATTTATATCATGGTTGGAGTTAGAGAAGTGTTGCTGTGGGTGAGCGATGAAGTAGGCGAGGTGTTGTACTTTTGAAGATGAAGCCGAAGTGGTTGAGAAACCGAACCTGCGAGGCTTGTTGCTGAATGATGAAGAGGAAGCGAGATGGTTGAGGAACCGAAGCTGCGAGGCTTGTTGCTGAATGTTGAGGGGGGAGCCGAGGTGGTTGAGGAACCGAACCTACGAAACTTGTTGCTGAATGATGAAGAGGAAGTCGAGGTGGTTGAGGAACCGAACCAGCGAGGCTTGTTGCTGAATGATGAAGGGGAAGCCGAGGTGGTTGAGGAACCGAACCTGCGAGACTTGTTGCTGAATGATGAAGGGAAAGCCGAGGTGGTTGAGGAACCGAACATGCGAGGCTTGATGGCTGAATGTTGAGGAGGGAGCCGAGGTCCAATGGTAATGATTGTGCCTTGATAGCTGAGCCAATGATTTGATGTCTTGTGCTTGTTTTCGAGGAAAAGTGGCTGAATCGTTACGACTTTCAAGGCGCTGCTGCCGGCAAATTAAAAATACAATTATGAGGGCAGCTGGCGCTTCTAGAAGCAGACCCGTTGAAGAGGTACGTGGGAGACACGCATAAGTCTGAGGCGTAAGATTTAAAAACTGCTTGAATTCAACGCCTCGGATTGGATCTGAAATGGAGGGCTCGGATTGACTGAGATTTGATCTGACGGCTGGGGTTCGGCTTGGACCTTTATGAAAGGCGAGAAAATCCCAATTTTCAGGATTTTTTAACACTTTGCATTCTGAAACTCTCTCAAATCTCCAATTTTCTGGCGTCGAGGTTGTCTGTGATATTAAATTCCGGCCAATCTCCGTTTGTGTCGAGCTCGTTTAGGTATTGTTTGCATAAAAAACCCTTGTTACTGTCTTTGTACTGACAAAATGGAGTCCACTTCGGATAGGGAGTTTGTTACAGTGGTGTCTTTAGACTATGAGGTAGGTCGTGGAGGGATGTCCGAGGTGGATAGGTATGCCATGGCCGAGGAGGCTGTAGATTATACCTAGGAATGGGAGGCTTCTAGAGTGCCCTCGAATATGACGGGGAAGAGGTTGGGGGAACTTAGGGAGAGGTACAGTGTACCCCATAACATAGAAATGTTAGTGCCCGAGCCGAACGAGCGGGCCTGCTATCCGAGGCCCGGCTGCGTGGCCGTGAGTGAATACCCGTTCAAGGCAGGTATGCGTCTTCCTCTACACCCTTTCTTTAGGGCGGTGCTTAGGAAATTCATGCTGTCGTCGACCCAGGTTCTGCTGAATGGGTGGAGCCAGCTGGTCGGCTCGTACTTCCTGTGAAAGGAAGTGTCACTTGGGGAGGACATGCCTCTTCATGTGTTCATGACCCTGTTCCAGCCCCGAGTAATTGGGAAGGAATCAAGGGGGTGGTACTACCTCACGCCTTGGGGGGCTCACGCACCCTTTGTGGTGGGACTTCCTTCCTCTATCAAGGGGTGGAAGGAGTCCTGGTTCTGGGTGCGAGGTAAATGACAGGCAGTGGAGGGTGACAAAGCCCTGTCATGTACAGTGCCGACCCAGTACTACGAAACTCATGAGTCTCCCGACCTCTGCTTGTCTTTTGAAGTCAGAATATGAATTCGTCTAGCTGTTGGAGGTTCCTTTGCAGATAGTAGTACGAGGTTCGAGCTCAGGAGGGAGGAATTCGAGGTGATAGAGGACATTTACAAGAGACCTATGAAGCTTCGGCACTTCGATCACGTGATTGACAGAAGCAGATACTTTTTGGACTTCGAGTTGATGGCATCCAGAGGTATGAGGCCCCAACACTGTTTTTATCCTTATTGTTTCTTACGCTGATGCTGATCTGACATATTGTGCAGACAAATTCAAGAAAAGGGAGTATCCAGCTCCGGACATGGCCTCTATCTTGAAGGCCACTTCCACTGCGAAGGCGAGGCCCCTGAAGCCTGGGTCCAGTGGGGCAAAGGAAGTCCGAGGACTGCACTCGCAGGGCTTCGGAGGAGGCAACTACTTAGAGGTTAGAGAAGCCTAAGGAGCCTCGGGGCAAGGAGAAAGTCTCTGAGGAGACTAAGAAGAGGAAGCTGGTGCACATCTCCAGCTCAGCAGGGAAGTTTGGGACCTCAGTGTCCCATAGGGCCGAAAAGACTGGAGAGCCAAAGCTTCTTGCTGCAGCCTCTAAAGCCATCAAAATGGAGATGGTAAGAGAGGTAGAGGCCGAAGAGGCTAGAGTTGAGGCTGCAAGGCGAGCTGCAGAAGCCGCCGAAGAGGAGGCAGCAAAAGAGAAGCCGGTTCGGGAGAAGGGGAAGTCTCCAAACTTCCTAGCTGGGAGGGAGGAGGAGCTGGCCCCAGCCTTGGTAGAGGCTCTCCCTGAGGAAATCAGAAGTGCCATCGAGAGCTTTTACAAGTTCTGGACAGAGAGGTGGCAGCTGCATGCCTCGTCTTGTGATGCCACAGACTTGACAAGGGCACTGGTGAGCCAAAGCGCCCGAACCTTTCGCCTCGCGCTCGAATGCAGGGAGGCCTTGAGCGAATTCCAGACAAGGATCCACTCCTCGGAGGGGAAGGCTGCCTCCCTTGCAGAGGAGGTTAAAGCTGCTAAGGCCGAGGCCGAAGAAGCCAAAGCCCAGAGGGTTGAAGAAGCGGCGAAGCTTGAGTCTGCTTTGGCCCAAATTGAGGCCCTAAAGAAGGAAGTATATGAGTCACAGTGCGAGATGGCCTCCTTGACAAAGAAGGTAGAGGTCTCCAATGAGCACCAAAAGGTGATTGCTGAGGCGCTTGAGAAGGCGAATCTCTCTTTGGCCGGTGCTCGAGATGCCTATCAGTTTCTCGAAGGCCAGGCGAAGTGGTACATGAGCGACGCCTCTGTTGCCAGAGAAGAGGCCCGAACTGCAAGGGAGGAGGCGGTGAAGGAATACATCGCCAATTTCCACACTACAGAGGAGTATAAAAGCTTCAGCTCGTACTGGAGGAACTTCGCCTATGCCGAAGTGCTGGAGAGGGCAGAGGAGCTCTATCCCAACTTGGACCTGGCTCAACTTAGGTCTGAATTTGTGGATGAGGTACCTCAGACCCCAGCTGAGGAGGTCCAGGGTGATGAAGAAGTTGATGCCGAAGCCCCAAGTGCCGAGGCAGAGAAAACAACTACTGATGCCCAAGTTGCCAAAGCCCCTATTGCCGAGGCACCTCCGTCAACTAGCCAGGCATAGACTAGGTTTTATTTTTCAGTAATTTGGATGTAATGGCCAGAGGCCCTCCTTTGTAACCCGCTTTGAAATATCAATACAATGTCTTTTTTCTTTCATTGTTGCTTTTTGTCCAAGTTTTTATACCTCGTTTAAACAAATTTACTGGAACTTGATAGAAGCATGAACTAAATAAATGAACATAACTTGAGTGACTGAACTGTACGACCCTCGGACTTAAGCAAATTAACCTAACTTGAGGAGATGAACAGTGTGAACCTCAGACTGAAGCACATAAACATGACTTAAGGAGATGAACTGTACGAACCTCGGACTTAAGCAAATTAACATAACTTAAGGAGATGAACTGTACGAACCTCGGACTTAAGCAAATTAACATAACTTAAGGAGATGAACAGTGTGAACCTCGGACTGAATCATATAAACATGACTTAAGGAGATGAACTGTACGAACCTTGGACTTAAGCAAATTAACATAACTTAAGGAGATGAACAGTGTGAACCTTGGATTGAAGCACATAAACATGACTTAAGGAGATGAACTGTACGAACCTCGGACTTAAGCAAATTAACATAATTTAAGGAGATGAACAGTGTGAACCTCAGACTGAAGCACATAAACATGACTTAAGGAGATGAACTGTACGAACCTCGGATTTAAGGTTGTGGCTTCTCCCCTTGGCGTTCAGCAAGGCCAAAGGGAGGCATGTGCTAGCGCCTCGGAGTTCAAGCGAAGTGGCCAAGAAGTGGGTCCTGAGCCTCTCCTCCGACGTGACGACGCATTCCAGACATGGTGGATGGTGCAGCCATGTTGAGGCTTCTCCCCTTGGCGTTCAGCAAGGCCAAAGGGAGGCATGTGTTAGAGTTTCGGAGTTCAAGCGAGGTGGCCCAGAGGTGGGTCCCGAGCCTCTCCTCCGAGGTTACGATGCATCCCAGACATGGTGACGTTGCAGTATGACGACTTAATCAATGCATTTTATTGAGCCATAGAAATATTACAAAGGCTGGGAAAGTCATCCAACATGATACAATTCATTCATAAAAGATTTTGAGGTGTTCAATGTTCCATGGACGGGGTTGTGCCTTGCCGTCCATGTCTTCAATCCAGTAGGTTCCAGGTCGGATTTCTTCTCTGATCTTGTATGGACCTTCCTAGTTCGGCCCCAAGGAACCAGACCCAAGTTCTTTTGAAGATGGGAAGACCCTCCTGAGCACAAGATCGTTGATTCGGAACGACTTCTTCTTGACTTTGGAGTTGAAGTACCTTGTCATCTTTCTTTGATAGGTACCTAGTCTCAGCTGGGAGTCATCCCTTCTCTCCTCAATAAAATCGAGGTCGAGCCTCCGGAGCTCGTCGTTGGTCACTTCACTGAAGTGCAGACGACATGGAGATGGGAGTCCGACCTCCACGGGGCTCATTGCCTCAGTCCCAAAAGCCATGAGAAAAGGGGTCTCCCCAGTTGGGGTCCTGGTGGTGGTTCGGATTGCCCAAAGTACTTGGGGCAGCTCATCAACCCAAGCTCCTTTGGATACATCAAGCTTTCTTTTTAGGACGTGCTTGATGGTCTTGTTTACGGCTTCCACTTGGCCATTTGCTTGAGGGTGGTGAGGTGTGGAGAAGTGCTTCTTTATGCCGAGCTCCTCACATAGTTGTCTGACCCTTTCGTTGTCAAACTATCTGCCATTGTCTGAGATGATCGAGTAGGGAATTTCGAACCGGCAAATAATATTTTTCCATAGGAACTTGTAAGTGTTGGCTTCTGTGATTTTTGCCAGTGGTTCAGCTTCGACCCACTTTGTGAAGTAATCAATGGCCACTATTGCGAAACTTGCACCTCCTCTACCCTTAGGTAGGGGACCTATGAGGTCCACGCCCCATTTTGAGAAAGGTCGGGGGCTGGAGACTACAGTCAAGTCCTGTGATGGTTGTCTTTGCACGGGAGAGAATCGTTGGCATTTATCGCATTTTCGTACGAATTCGAGGGCGTCCCGTTTCAGGGTAGGCCAGTAGTACCCTTGCCTCAGTATTTTTTGTGCCAGAGATAGGCCTCCAGAGTGGTTGTCGCACACTCCCTCGTGGATTTCTCTTAGTAAGTAGGTAGCCTCTTCTCCTTCGACGCATCGTAGGAGTGGAGAGGAGAAGCTTCTCTTATAGAGAATGTCATCAATGAAGAGGAAGTGGGACGACCTCCTCCTTAGCTTATAAGCCTCATTCTTGTTGGTGGGCAGTACCTGGTCCTTCAGATATGCTATGATCGGTTGCATCCAGGTGGGAGTTCCTGCGACCCACATGACATTAGGGGCCTCGGTAGAAGGCAGGAGGAGGTGCTCAATAAGCACTACTGTGAGTAGCTCTGAGTCTTTGCTACTAGCAAGTTTTGAGACTGCATCCACATGTGTGTTTTCGATGTGGGAAATCTGGATTAACTCAAACTTTTCAAAGGACGGGATGAGGTTCATCACCATTTTCAGATAGGAGGCCATCGTTTTGTCTTTGGCTGAGAAGTTACCATTGACCTAGCTAACAACTAGCTGGGAGTCACTACTGATGAGTAGCCTCTTTACTTGCATTTCCTTGGCCAGTCTGAGGCCCGCAAGGAGTGCCTCATACTCCGCTACATTATTGGTGTCTTTGAATCCGAACCTCACCGTCGAGGTGAGCTTGTGACCTCGGGACTGATAAGGACCACACCGGTGCCTAAGCCGATCTCCCCAGCTGAACCATCGACGAAGAGGCTCCACGTGGGGGGCTCAATGGGTTCCATAATTGCATCCACCTCGGGTAGGTTGGCGAATTCAGCCACAAAGTCAGCTAAGGCTTGCCCCTTGATGGCTGCCCTAGCCTTGAACACAAGGTCGAATTTACTTAGTTCCACCGCCCATTTCAATAGTCTTCCTAAGGCATCGGGCTTTTGGAGTACCTGCCTCAGGGGAAAATTTGTAAGTACACGGATGGTATGAGCTTGGAAGTAGGGCCTCAATTTCCTGGAGGTTGTGATTAAGGCCAGAGCGAGCTTCTCCATATCGGGGTAACGGGTTTTCGACGATAGGAGCGCTTTAATCGTATAGTAGACGGGGAGTTGGGTGGACCCTTCTTCTCGAATCAGAACCGAACTGATGGCCTTATTGGAGATGGCCATATATAATTGCAAGATATCACCGGGCTTCGGCTTGGAGAGGAGGGGGGCCTGTCCCAGGTGCCTTTTCAGGCCTTTTCAGGCCTCTTCATATTCCTCAGTCCATTGAAAAATGGGAGGCATTTGTCAGTCGCTTTGGAGACGAAGCGACTAAGTGCTGCCACTCGTCCAGTTAAGCTTTGCACTTCCTTTGGCTTTTGAGGGGACCTCATCTGGCACAAAGCCTCAATCTTCTCGGGGTTGGCCTCGATTCCTCGTTGGTTGACCATGTACCCCAAGAACTTGCCGGAAGCCACCCCAAAGGCACATTTAAGCGGGTTGAGCCTCATCCTGTACCTTCTGAGGATTTGGAAAGTATCGTTGAGGTGCGCTATGTGGTCCTCTGCTTCTAAACTCTTCACCAGCATGTCATCCACGTAGACCTCCATTGTCTTGCCAATGAGGTCTGTAAACATTTTGTTCACGAGTCTTTGGTAGGTTGCTCCGGCGTTTTTCAACCCGAAGGGCATCATTCTATAGCAATAGAGACCTCGGTCCGTGATGAAAGATGTGTGCTCTTCATCGGCCGGATGCATGGGGATTTGGTTGTAGCCAGAGTATGCATCCATGAAGCTCAACAACTCGTGTCCGACCGTGGAGTCTACCAATTGGTCAATCCTTGGAAGCGGAAAGCTGTCTTTCGGGCAAGCTCTATTGAGGTTGGTAAAGTCGATGCATACCCTCCATTTGCCATTGTGTTTCTTAACCAGGATCGGGTTGGAAACCCACCTCGGATAGGTGGCCTCCCTGATGAAGCCACTTTGGATGAGCTTCTGAACCTCTTCCTTCAGGGCCTCATACCTCTCAGGGTTGAGGGCTCTCCTTTTTTGTCTATGTAGGGCAACCTTAGGATCAATCTTCAAGTGGTGGCAGCTGACCTTGGGGTCAATGCCCACCATGTCCTCATGCCTCCAAGCAAAGATGTCAAGGTTCTTGCCTAGGAAGTCCTTAATCTTTTCTCTCAAAATGTCGGATAGGCCTTTGCCTACCTTCAGCACCTTGGAAGGGTCTCGGGGGTCGGTCAAGAAGCTCTTAAGTTCCTCTACAGGGGATGCTTGAGGCTCATGTTCCATTATGTGGGGGTCAATCTCGTCAATAATCAGCACCTCAGGATTAAGTGGCGCGTCAATCATGTCAACATCTTCTTGTTCAGCGGGAGCGTCACCTGGGACATCCGCCATGACCACATCAGCCATGATCACGTGGACATCCCGAGGCTCTACCTTCTTAAGGGAGCTTAGATAGCACTCTCTCGAGCCTCTCTGGTCGCCTCTCACCATTGCCACCCCGTTTTCTATCTGGAATTTCATGCATAGGTGGTGGATGGAAGTGGCTGCTCCCAATTCCTTTAGGGCTGGTCTGCCCAAGATTCCGTGGTAAGCCGACCGGCTGTCAACTATGAGAAATTCCATGAAATTCATCGTAGTTTGAAGAGACTCTCCCATTTCCACTGCCAGCATTATCTTTCCCCTCGGAGTGATGCTATCTCCGGTAAATCCGTACAATGGAGTGGTGGTGGGTGTCAACTGATGGTCCAATATCATTTTGTCAAAGGAGGACCCAAACAGGATGTTGACGGAGCTGCCATTGTCGACTAGCATTCGTTTGAGCCCATTCCGGGCTATGACAGCCCTCACCACAAGCGCATCGCAATGGGGGTAATGAACTCCTTCAGCGTCTTCCTAGGTGAAGACAATGGGTGGTACTTGGTTTATTCGGGAGCTATTGTCCACAATGTAACTCGTCAAAGGGGGGTGTTTAGCCTCCCGAGCATAATTTCTTTTGGCGTTTCGTGTTTCGCCACCAACATAAGGGCCTCCAAATATG